GAACTCAGACCCCGCCGGCTGGATATCACTACCAGAGGTGCAGACATGTTTTAGACCGTTTGACTCAGAAGACCTGCGACCCGATTTGGACATAGGAGGATTCTGTTCATCTTCAGAACCAAAATTGGTACAGTTTGTTTACTTTTCTTTAATATGTCATTTCTGTGCTCCACTGGGAGCTCTAAGCTGACAAGTTCTCAGCTGGTCTTAGTTCCATCACGTGTCCCAATATATTTCAGTAATCTACAGTTTTACTGCTGTGTGTATTTATTGATATAACTCTGGAAAATATTTAACCAACAATTTACCAGAATAAATCTTCCTGATGCTGGAGTAACTCCTTAGCTCAATTCGTTGTTTGCACTAATCCAGGATGTCACGGAGGTTCTAATGTTGAAATATAGAGATCATCTTTTAGATTATATCTGTGTGTGTGTGTGTGTGTGTGTGTGTGTGTGTGTGTGTGTGTGTGTGTGTGTGTGTGTGTGTGTGTGTGTGTGTGTGTGTGTGTGTGTGTGTGTGTGTGTGTGTGTCGTAGCTTTCCCAAAGAACTTGTTCTTTCCTTACCAGAGCTAACACGGTTAGCAGTTTTGCTGCAGTCATGCTAACGGGACTCGTCTGGAGTCCAGAAGTAGCGGTGCGGTTCTAGATGGATTTATAGATGTAGTTTATTATTTTAGATCAGACCTGTTATTTAAAATGCATGTAGGACACAGACACATGGCTCAGACCTTTTGCTGCAGCTGTAAACGCAATTTTACGTAATAATTAGGAGCATGAAAGTAAACAAATAACGGTGATTCACAATACTAGCATCAGCAGCTACCTTGTTTTACGTGCTGGAATGACGTATGCGAAACACAGTTCTTCAATGTCTGGAGGAGAGGATTTGGATTTTCTGTCATGATTTATGACAAAAGTCATTAACAAAATAAAAAACTGAACCCAGTACATGTTTATATAGATGGTAAAGTGTAGTTATTTTGCATATCTACAATTTTAATGCCAAGCCAATACCTTTAACCCTTCACCACTGAAATCACTTTGCTCCTTCCAATCCTCCTAAATAATCCTCCAATCATCCAACTGGAATCCTTAAGGGTCCCGTAACGTCCATCCTGTCAGAATAGGCCTTGGGAGCCCAGGTGTTACTAGAACTAATGGTGTCTCCACACCAGCGTGAGCCTCCAAACTGTGAAGGTTGGTCTCCAAACATGAACTTTAAATTCATGCATTTATCTCCTCTTGTAACACTTTAACATTTTTTAAAAGGCTTGCATCATGATATGTTACACCTCCCAGACCAAAGATAGGTCCAATATAAGATAAAACATGATCATAAACACTGCAGAGACATCATTATTTATGAAATATGAGTTATTTTCCTGAGCCATTACTTCAGCCAAGAAATAAGATGCATGGATTTGATGAAACCATGCTGTCTCATGCAGTCCTATATGTGTAACTAACACACACACACACACACACACACACACACACACACACACACACACACACACACACACACACTCACTCACTAGAATCATCTGAATGACTAATTTAACTACATTGAACTGCTTTTGTAATTATGTAATCTCTTATTCTGGAGTAAAACAAGCTAAATCATCACATATCTGTGGCATCAAGGGGCATCTTGAGTTCAAACACAGGGATGGAGCACAATGTTTACACCTGAAACAGCATCAGGATGTTTTAACTCACAGAGGCCTGCAGGTCTTCTGTTTAATTAGCAAAGTACTGAGAATCCGCTTGTTATGAGCGCTAAACGTTATTTTGCCGCTGCCGTGCGGAACGGTAGGGAAACACATCTCAAACACGGAACCGAGTCTGGTTACCGAACCGAGCAGAATTCTGATGACGTCACACCGATGCGCGAAGGTGCGGGATCCAACCCACAGGAGAGGAGGGAGAGAGGAGGTAAAGAGCGAGTGGATCACAGGGACTGAACTGATGTTTGAGCAAAACTGCGGTAAAATGGCTGTTTGTCCTCATTATCTAAAGTGTACCCCCCCTGCTAATTCGTTACTTTCCACCTCTGCTTTTTATTATTTTTGCAAAATGCAGGACCAGAGCGAATACGGTTTGGTTAGAAAAATGAGACAGTCCAAATGTTAATAGGGCCACTAATAGCTTACTGCTATTATGGACCAGTCCGAAGTCGGCATAAAAAGCGTCGGTACTGTTGGCCCAAAAAGAATGTCCACCAACCACTGTACGCCTGATAGAGAGCCCAGCGGTGGCACGGATGCACATTAATAGTTATTAATGAAATATCGCAATAAAGAGCCTCCAGTTCAGATGCTAACGCTAGCATGAATGTACAAAGATGAAAAACAAAAACGTGGTCCTACATGACAAATCTATAATTCCAGTCATTAAAAATAAATATTTAACTTTCCACCATAAAACTCCCAAAATTACTATGGTGCAAGTGATGTTTCATTTCGTGTCATGTTTTGTAAGCTAAACTTTGACAAGTGGGTTTCTGGTGATCTATAGATTGACTTAACACTAACCAAAACCACAATTTACATTCTTAAGAGTGATAAACTTACCTTTTAGAAGCTTTCAAGTTGGAGGATGAACAGTGATTGTCTTCTTTTTCTTCTTCAACGTAGCTGACTGCTGACTGTTCAAGAACAGAACTTCAAAAATGTGCTTCAAAAGAAATACTGTATTAGACAGTTTTTTGGCCGTGATTTTCCGGCTGTCATAATTCAACAAAAAAACATCAGATTTAACATTATCCCACCGTAATTTGGAAAATCGGTATGTTACTGTTGGAATTCTGCCGTAAATTTACAGAAATTTCTGAGTGTTGATAAGAGATACCCGAATGCACTCACCCTTCCAGCTAACCTTAGCTCGACTGACTGACGAAGCGGGTTCTAGAGCCCTATTTATAGGCTGGCAAGATGACGTCACAAAGCGACGTAATAACGTCGAAACCTCTCAGACCAAAGATAGGTCCAATATAAGATAAAACATTATCATAAACACTGCAGAGACGTCATTATTCATGAAATATAAGTTATTTTCCTGAGCCATTACTTCAGCCAAGAAATAAGATGCATGGATTTGATGAAACCATGCTGTCTCATGCAGTCCTATATGTGTAACTAACTAACACACACACACACACACACACACACACACACACACACACACACACCAGCAGCAGCAGCAGCATGTTAGAATCATCTGAATGACTAATTTAACTACATTGAACTGCTTTTGTAATAATGTAATCTCTTATTCTGGAGTAAAACAAGCTAAATCATCACATATCTGTGGCATCAAGGAGCATCTTGAGTTCAAACACAGGGATGGAGCACAATGTTTACACCTGAAAAAGTATCAGGATGTTTGAACTCAGAGGCCTGCAGGTCTTCTGTTTAATTAGCAAAGTACTGAGAATCCGCTTGTTATGAGCGCTAAACGTTATTTTGCCGATGCCGTGCGGAATGGTAGGGAAACACATCTCAAACACGGAACCGAGTCTGGTTACCGAACCGAGCAGAATTCTGATGACGTCACACCGATGCGCGAAGGTGCGGGATCCAAGCCACAGGAGGAGGGAGAGAGTAGGTAAAAAGCGAGTGGATTACAGGGACTGAACTGATGTTTGAGCAAATCTGCGGTAAAATGGCTGTTTGTCCTCATTATCTAAAGTGTACCCCCCCTGCTAATTCGTTACTTTCCACCTCTGCTTTTTATTATTTTTGCAAAATGCAGGACCAGAGCGAATACGGTTTGGTTAGAAAAATGAGACAGTCCAAATGTTAATAGGGCCACTAATAGCTTACTGCTATTATGGACCAGTCCGAAGTCGGCATAAAAAGCGTCGGTACTGTTGGCCCAAAAAGAATGTCCACCAACCACTGTACGCCTGATAGAGAGCCCAGCGGTGGCACGGATGCACATTAATAGTTATTAATGAAATATCGCAATAAAGAGCCTCCAGTTCAGATGCTAATGCTAGCAAGAATGTACAAAGTTGAAAAACAAAAACGTGGTCCTACATGACAAATCTATAATTCCAGTCATTAAAAATAAATATTTAACTTTCCACCATAAAACTCCCAAAATTACTATGGTGCAAGTGATGTTTCATTTCGTGTCATGTTTTGTAAGCTAAACTTTGACAAGTGGGTTTCTGGTGATCTATAGATTGACTTAACACTAACCAAAACCACAATTTACATTCTTAAGAGTGATAAACTTACCTTTTAGAAGCTTTCATGTTGGAGGATGAACAGTGATTGTCTTCTTTTTCTTCTTCTTCAACGTAGCTGACTGTTCAAGAACTGAACTTCAAAAATGTGCTTCAAAAGAAATACTGTATTAGACCATTTTTTGGCCGTAATTTTCCGGCTGTCATAATTCAACAAAAAAAAACATCGGATTTAACATTATCCCACCATAATTTGGAAAATCGGTATGTTACTGTTGGAATTCTGCCGTAAATTTACAGAAATTTCTGAGTGTTGATAAGAGATACCCGAATGCACTCACCCTTCCAGCTAACCTTAGCTCGACTGACTGACTAAGCGGGTTCTAGAGCCCTATTTATAGGCTGGCAGTATGACGTCACAAAGCGACGTAATAACGTCGAAACGTAGAGTGAGAGGAGGACGCAAACGCAGACAACGGCTGGACAAACGGATTCCATTGGCTTCAATAACACGTTTGTTGTCTATAATGGCAGGTGGCCACCACCGCCATTTTGACCGTGTCACAGGTTCCGTCCAGCCCAGACAATTCCATAAAAGGGAAGAGAGGAGGTGCTGAGGGTGTGGCTGTAAGGCTGGGCTCGAGTGACGACACCCAGGCGAACTAGCTACGAGCTAACCTGAAGCTAACCCAAAAAAAATAATAATAATAATAAAAAAAAAAAACCTGAAGCTAACCCTGGCTAACCCAAAGCTAAAGCGGAGGCGGGAGCCGAGCTAACGGATGTAGCCACCTAGCTTCAACCCAACCGGAGCTAACTGGAACACCCATCGACCTGAACCTCACAGGGAGTTTAGGTGGAGGTTTTCTGCGCCTGTTCGTGAGAAGTACCTGTATTAAAAAAGATTTAAATCGGTAAGTTTATAATTTATTTCCGTAATGAATACATTTTGCTTTGAGCAAGTTTTCAGTACAGTTTTTTTCGGCGCTATCACTCCTGAGTCGCACCAGCCATTAAATGTATCATGAAGAAGAGAAAATATATTTAAGTCGTATTTTGGGGGACATTTTATTATCTTTCTTACAAAATCTGAGACCAAGCGTTTCACATTGCAACACAAGCACCGGTAACCATAACAGAATGAACAACAGCCAGCAGAGGAGAGGATGGCGGTGTTTCAAACCCTCCCGGCCGGCGAGGAGAGCTCATTCCTGGGCTGGAGCCGGCCCTCAGCACCCCGCCACAGGCTCTAACAGATGCTGGCGGTGTTTGAAACCCTCCCAGCGGGACAGGGGAACTCATTCTTGTGTGGGTCGGAGTCGGCCCGCAGCAGCGCGGTGTAGCCTACATATTTTGTTATATAAGTCGCTCTGGAGTATAAGTAGCAGGACCAGCCAGAATATGTAAAAAAGTGCGAGTTATAGTCCGGAAAATATGGCAGTTATTAGTATTCGAGCTAAATTAGCAGCGTAAATACATTTCATATATTTCCAAAATGTAATACTTGTTTGTATCTTGTACAGCCAACTAGTCTTTATTCTGGACTCAGTACAATTTACCAAAAGTAAAGAGACATTCTACAGATGAAGTAAGCACAAGATAACTTACTGGAAGACACGGGATTATCATGAGAACCAGAACAAGAGAGCCTGATAACAGTCATGTGAAAATAACAGTTAAAAAGTATGTATGTATAATAGAAATAAAAATATATTAGAATTAGTGTAACTCACTGTGATCCAAACAATAAATCAGCCATAGCTGATTAGTAAATATGACATGAGGTCTTGGAGTTTTTAATTTTCATTTTTTTCTTAGATCTGTTTAAATGTCACCATGGCAGCCTGTGTGTCTCCAACATCAGCTACACAAAGCAGCTAGTGTAAGTTCCACATACCTGTCTCACCACTTCATGTATGGTTTTGTACTTTGAACAATTATGACAAACCTGTTATTTTTTCTCCATAGCCATTTGGATCATTGGAGACAGCTATGTGAGGCGTGGTGCCCAGAGAGCTGCAGAGACAACCTTGGCCTCCCTGACGTCTGTGTCTCCTGGTTCGGTTGGGGCGGACCATCGACATACATACATGTGCCGACACTTTGCGCCCTGTTTTATAAAATTTAGTGTTAAAAATAAATGTTTTTGCTCAATTACTGGAATTTCTTTGGTTAAGACAAAAGTGAGGAATAATCATTTACAAGTTATTTGTACAACAGGCCCATTTTAAATCCCAACAGTTTCTTAGCAGACAATAGAAATGTGTTCTTTACTAACTTTACTTGGTTTAAAAATCTTACTAAAATAGTGCCATATTGCAAAACCCAATCATACTTGTTATGTAAACATTAGCTTTGTAGATATTTTTTACAGATATATGTGTGCAACAAATCCAAACTTAAATAATTTGTCATTCTTTATTGAAAAACAACAAAATACAGTTATACAGAAGTGTGGGAAAATGATAATGTGAAAGTATTGCTATTTAAATGTAATCCTATTTATCTTTAAAAAGAAAAACTCTTAAAAATGTCCTGTACAGCATCATGACAGAAGAATGGTGGTCTGTCTGTCAGAATGTGCTGAACAGATTTGCTCTTTGAAGAAGAGTGTCATGTTTGGAGGAAGGTACTTAACCCAAGACATGCAGAATACAACACTGACCAAAAACTGATGGAAAAAATGATTTATTTATAAGGAGGAACTTAAGGTGCACAGATAAGTCTGTGGTTGGAACTGCAACAACAGCTCAGCGTCTGGAGGAGGGAGAACACAGGTGAGCATAGGTTCTGGTTTCAAAATCCATTGTAGGCAGGCAGAGGTGTTCAGCAGACTTACTGTGGTGGGTGTATGTGTTGGCTGGAGGAGAGAGAGGTAGAGAGGAAGCGCAGGAGAGGGAGCAGAGGTGGAGAGAAGCGGGGCGTCCTGGTGGATGGGGCACTGGGTGAGATGAGAGGTGGGTTATGGAGGCTGGTGATAAGGTCCGTGTGTTGAATATCCAAATCCTGGAGTAGAGTTCAGTATCCAATGAGGTCGACAGGAATCCTGAAGAACGGTAAATCCAATATAAGAGCAAAAACACTACGAAATAACATTAATCCTAGGAACACTAGAGGTAACACGAGTGGCTGGTTACTACCAAAACTGAGGCAATCTTCTGGCGTCAAATTGTGTCCTCCATCCACCTTAAATAGGAAAGCACCCCGCTGATTGCTGATCAGGAACGGCTGGGGTGGAGTCACCAGAACCATGAAGAACGTGTCTCCAGAGACAACCCGGGTCCTGGTACCAATCAGGAAGCGGACCTTATCACCCAGAGCTGCCAGGTCACGCTCAAAGCCTTCCTGTTCACACTGCAGAGCCTGAACGCTGGCCAGGTGGTGGCCGTAGTTGTCTGTGTTCAGGGCCTGGTTCTTCTCCTCGATCCACTCTTTGGTCTCATCAGCGTCTCTGAGAAGACATCAGAACTACATCTGAGTGTGGGTCCAAACTCTACTGACCCGTAAGCGGCGCATAAGTGTGCGGGGTACCTGTGGAAGCGCTGCACCTCATGGGCGCTGCCCAGCATGTTGCTCCGGTCTTCAGCCAGCTGTTGCAGCGAGCGCCAGCTGTTGTTCAGCTCCTGGAGAGAAACCAAACCCAGTGAGATGAAGGTGGACGCCAGCGGGCTGGACGCCGGACAAGGAAACCTGGAGACGGATCGCTCAGACAGGAAGGGAAGAGCTTCCTCTTACCTTGATGGAATTAAAGTTAGCCGTCGTCTGAACGCCCAACCGTACGGTCTGAGGTCAAAGGTCACAGGAAACACACACCAGTCAGCAGTCATACAGATGCATAAAGATAACTGTAGCCATGGCAACCAGCTGACATGTCCCCACTTTCACCAGCACCTGGTGCCTGCCGGGTCACCTGAATTCCTGTGTGATGTCAGCACGGTCGGCCGTGACTGCGGCCATCAGAGGTGACCTCTGATCAGCTGAATGAACTCACCTTCTAGGGTGACGCCGTGTTACCCCGGGTTTCCACGGGAGCCGTCAGCAGCACGTTACTGCAGCAGCACGTCTTGCTCGCGTAAGCTGCTGCTTGGCCCTTCCCACGAGACGCGAAGCAGCAGGGGAGCAGCTGTCACCGACCGAGCACGAAGTCACACGAGTGACTTCGTCAGTAAACACAACAACAAGCAGGAGAAAACTACAACATGGTTTGTGTTTTATGTTCTGTCCATTTTATAATCGCCAATACGGACCTGAAAAACAAAGGAGACCGCTAGCTAGGTGATAACTTCTCACGGGGCCGCACAGTTAGTAACTGTTTTTAAAAGTAAAGCAACCGGAAGGCAGTACGTTCTTTATTCTGAAAATCTCGGTAGCTTCTCTCAATTTCCGCGTCCGATTTCCTGTCTTTCCTTCCCCAAAAATGTCGAACTTGACCCGTTTCAGAGGCGTCGCGCGTAGAAAATAGAACCGGCGCGTAAGGGCCGCAACTTGCTGCTCCTGAGACGCGGCCGACTCTCGCTGCCGACGGCTCCAGTGGAAAAGGTTCTGTTGACCACAGCGGTTCCTATCAGCAGCTATGACGTGCTGCTGCAGTAACGTGCTGCTGACGGCTCCTGTGGAAAGCCGGGGTTAGAGTCGGCTTCATCCTGTAAACAAACAAATGAGTGGTAACAAAAACACCACGTCTGGTTCTGGTGGAGGCGGAGGACAACACGCACCTTTCCAGGAGCAGAACCCAGATGTTCTTGTTGCTACAAACAGAGACGAGCAGAGTTAACAAACCAGGAAGTGAGAGGGACCAGCTGCTGCAGACAGGTGACGCTCACCTGAGCCTGAACCATAGGAGCCTCCTCAGCCATCAGACCTTCTGACTCCAGTTCAGATGCCACCTTGTTGATGTCCCTCAGGCGGGACTCGTTGGCCTTCAGGTCCTGCAGGACAAAAGCACCTGCTGATTATCACCTGAGCTGATCTGACAGCTGCTGCTGGAAGACGGAGAGGAGGAAAAGTCCGACCTTCTGGAAGTCGTCAAACTTCTTCTGCAAGACCTCGACCTGCTCCAGGTCCGACCCGTCTCTCCATCCTCATTCAGCTAAAGACGCGAGTTCAAGTAAAACAACCTAAAGTCACACAAACACAAAGCAGGTGTGGAGATGTTCGCTCTGAGCTGGAGGTCGTTCCTCGGCTGTGAAGGGCACACGAACCTTGTTGGTGCTGTTGAGCAGCGTGAGGATGTCGCCCTTCTTCATGGTGACCTCTCCAGGACTCTTCTCCTGGTAGTCGTACAGAGCCAGAACCAGCTCCTTCCCGGTCTCATCGTCAGTTGGAGCCACTTGTTGCTGTCGGGTTAACAGGTCTGGTGTTAGAACGTGGTGGATAAGAATGTTCTGACGGGCCGAGGGTTCTGAACCAGCGAAGTGACCTGGACCCAAACAAAGTGAGCCAGAACCTGCAGACACCTCAGAAACATGTCAGGACCAGACCTGCTCTACCTTCCTCCATTATGGTCTCTCCTTTCTGGGTGACAGCCTTGATGCGAGGTTCATGACCTGTGATCTCAGCCTGCAGAGCCTGGTGCTTCTTCAGCAGGTTCTGGACACCAATCAGGTCCTTCCCTGAGGACACATGTTAGAGTTCAGCATTATGCAGTAGACAGACCAGTTTAACCCAGGGGTTTCTTTCTTCTACAATCTGCTCTTTAACTGTATTATTTCCTGCTATTTCAGCTGTTAACTTCATTTTTTCTCTAAGTGTTTTTCTCCCCAGAAGAAGCTACAACGACGTTCTGCTGAGCTGTGGTGGCCTCATGGAGGGGGCCATCATCTAGCACACTGCTGCTAACCACTTAATCATTCTCCCTCTCCTGATAATAACATTTTACTTTCTTTGATGTTGGATGTACTACTGCTAGTTTACCCGTTTAATTATAGATTCACTAGGATAAATACAATAAAGTTTATCTCTCACCAAATAGAATATTTACTAAGAAATCACAATGTAACGTGTGTGTGTGTGTGTATGTGTGTGTGTGTGTGTGTGTGTGTGTGTGTGTGTGTAAAAGCCATGTGTAGTGTTTATTTATAAAGCATATGTTGTTGGATTTTATCCAGAATCGAGATTTTGAAAATATATACACACTTAAAACTGCTGGGTTAAAAATAACCCAACTTGGGTTATTTTGTAACCCAGGCGCTGGGTCAAAAAGGGACCGACCCAACGCTGGGTTGTATTAACCAAGCAGGGTTGGGTTATGTGTTTGACCCAGCATATTGGGTTATGTTTTCTACCCAACTAATGGGTTAAAATGACCCAACTGTATAATTAGGGTAACCCAAAACTGGGTTAAAAAGAAAACCCAACTTCTGGGTTATTTAATAACTAAAGATTGGGTTAAAATGACCCAATTCTATAATATAGGGTTATAGGAAAAAAATAAATAAAATGCTTAATGAATAACTTACTACACAAAATGAACATGTCTCAGTCAATTCTTTACTGACCAAATAAGTTTTTTTTTTTTTCATTTTTAAAATGCATAACAATACTAATACAACTAGAGTATTTAAAAACATTTATAGTCCCGCTCATTTTTTTTTGTAAAACTCTGCTTATTGCATTTGTGTAAATGTGTTTTAATGACAAATATTAAAATATTAGACACCTGAAGATCATGAACATTTTCAACCCAATGCTAATGGAAGAACTGTACTTACGTAAATGTCCAAAAACATGTAACTCATCTCCATGCTAGCAAAACATCAACTTTAAATCATAGCCAACTGAGCCCTCATTAGCTTTACAGCATTTGATTCATGCCCAGGCATTTCAAAGATGACCGTTTGAATGAACTCCCAAATTTGGGCACATGGTTTTGGGTAATTCACATCTAACACAAAAAATGTTTTAAAACAGCCATCAACTGCACCCAAAAGTGATGGATATTCCATGGCAGTCCCATTGAGGATAACGAATGCTTGGGAACATCGATGGTCTTCACCAAGCATAAGAACATGTGGGTCGTCTGTTGTGGCCCCGGTCAGGTACTCCACCATGTTGGTTCCAGTCTAAAAGTAAGGGGAATTGAAGAAAAAAAAAGAGAAAGAAAGGGAAAAAAATTAAGGCATGAAAAAGAAATGGTTTCATACAAGTTGTGGAAGCATATTTGGAGTTGGCTGTCAATAATAGTGGTGCAACTGTACAGATAGCCCACAGTACGGTCTGTAGTACGGTTTTTAGACCACGGTCTCAGTATGGTTTTGGCATACGTTTTGTGCAGAAAGGCTGCTGTTTGTTATCCCAAAAAGTGTATTTAATTTTTTTGTGAGCAAAAACATTTGCATTATTTCAATTATTACTTGTATCAAATACAAAATCTAAAAAGATATGTAAAATGTAAACAAACAAAATGCATGTAAACACTCCAAAAAACTGGAATACAAAAATTCACATACCGGTAATATAAAGATGACTATTTTAAATGAGTGAGCTATGTTAATGAAACACAAAGTTTAAAATAGTTTAAACAAATGTTATATTTTGCACTGCAGCAATGCATACAATTGAGTCCTCAATGGTTCATTGCTCACTAAACACAAAAGCTGCATTAATGTCTAGCTCGCAAACTGGGAGCTGACTGCTCAGAGAAAGACAGGGAGAGGTCAGCAGCTCCTGTGCTGCACACAGAACAGCTGACAGGCCAGAGCAACTTGGGATTTCCGCAAAATAAATCAGAAAACCATCATTCAAAGACATTTATTTAATTCTGACCACGTCAATTGGAGACATGTTTCCTGACTTCCAAACTTTGGCTGACAACCCAGCGAGCGTTTGGCGTCAGGTGCAGGTGGAGTGGCGCTCTGTGCCAGACAAGATGCAGAGCCATGCGCTCTCACATAAGTGTAATGAATTCATGTAGCCTGTAACTCTGCTCCATGTGTGGCATGGTTTAGAGTAGGAATGGGCGATATAAACTTAATCCACAATAGAGATTTTCCCTCTACTGCAATAGAATGGATTTTTCCAGCTGTACCATGATGGGACGCAGCAGCATAAATGATGTTCAGCGTTTATAGTCCCTGTAGATCAGAAATCGCACTGCCATTTTAATTAATACTGAACCAAACCAGCCTGAACAGAGATTCAAACCGTGCCACCACACATGGACCAGAGTAACAGGCTACAGGAATTAATTATAAACACACCTGTTACCAGAGTGCGTATGGCGCTGCGTCCTGCCTCGCACAGAACGGCGCTCCCCCTGCACGAACGAGAGCTAACAATGCTAACAGTAAATTAGAAAGAGTCAACTCTAAAAATATCTCAAGTTGCTTTTTTCAATTACCACAGATGCTATTGGAGTGAAATGTATTTATCTACTAACAATATCAACTACTGTGTCTGACTCGTCTTGTTATGATTCTAGTCCGAACGAGGAACCAGGGAGGGAATTTTTCTGCAGCACTCCGATTTGACCACAAGATGTCAGTGTTACGTATCCCTCATTAAATTTACAGTCTTTCTCCTGGCATTCAGTTTTAAGTCTGTAAATCTTTCATTTATTCATTTTACCAATTTTGAATTTATTATAATTTAATGTGCACATAAATGGAAGCAAGTGAAAAATTTAAAATTTCAATTAAAAATTTCCACTGTTATGTCAGTGCTAAATAAATATTTCAGTTTTGTTTTATTGCAATGCCTTGATTATAGTGAAGTTGGAATACATTGTAGCCATAAATGCTATGGTTGACTTTTAGCTTATTGACATGCTAATTGACCATTTTTCTTTCAGTGCTGCAGTTTTCAGCCTTGGTTTTCTCATTTTAGGTTTTTGGTTTCAGCCAAGAATTTTCATGTTGGTGCATCCCTAGAAAATAATACCTAATGTCAAAATTAATAGAACTTACTGGCTGGATGTCAATGAAGGCCTTGCGAACCACGCTGCTGGGTCGGAGGAGTCTCCTTCCAACTTTGTATGGTGCAGTAGGGAGAATCAGTGGGAGCAACAACAAAGCGGCATCTTCCTGTTTGTCTGTAAAATGGAAATGTTTCACATTTCTCAAGGTTACCAAACTTAGAAAATGACAACCATAAAATATGAACTGCAATGATTTTGAGGTCAGAACACACTGGCTGATATCTTTCAAAAACAAAGTTGGAACTATTCAAAAACAGAAAAATGGATGGGTGAAAATCTTATATCGCCCACATCAAGTCAGACAGAAAAAACTGCCTCAGATGTTACCATAAAACCTACTGAATACAACAAGTGATATGTTTGTTAAAACAAGGTGAAGTACTCCCATTGGCAACACAAGATGTTTACCATATATTCAGCTCATCTCCAAAGCTCCAGCAGATAATAAAAATTTGTAAGAAATTGTATACAGCGCATTTACTGTCCTCTAATGCCTGCACACCTAATAGGCTACGTATTGACAATGAGATCAAAATAAAAAATTTAAATGTCTCATTGTACTTATAGAGCCTTTATTTAAGCTAATTTTTCAAAGATTGTTTCATAGTTGTTTTTTTTACCGTAAATGACAAGTTGATTGATCTGAAAGAGAAGCAATACACACTGCTTTTTAAGGACTTTCCATTTTTGTCTGAGTTGATGCTAACCTTGCCCTGCAAGATGTTTTCTCGCAAGATTTGGAGTTTTCCAAACTCGTGAGAATCCATCTTGGCCTCCTCCAATCCTGACGGTTCAGCATCAGCTCAATGGTAAACGGACTAATCGTGTGTCAGCATTGTGCTTTTTGGCAGGCGCATGAGCAGCTGTTTGGGCATGCCGACAAACATGGCAGTGCCGGTGGATGTCAGAGCAGTTACTGGTTTCAGAATGGATATAACCTCCAGCAAAAGGTAGGCCTAGGTAGTCTCATTTATAGCTCCAATACGGCGCTATATTGAATATATGTTTTAGAAAAACTAGAGACTTAGCTGTGATTGGCTAAAGACAAACCATGGTAGCCAGTGTTCGGACACTTGCTGGTGCTTCCTCCAATCAGCTCAAAGTATTCCAGCAGATGGCCCACCCTCCTTCCTAGGCTTTCTAATGCAGCCTGCGGCGGAGATTCCAGATCGAAATATGGAGACTCGACAGGTGGCGGGGCTACATAGAGAGAGCTGACTGCTGCCAGCTTAAGCTGATGCAACTAGAACAGCAAACCTATAGTCCATGACCTCATCTACTTTCAGTCACTCAGAATTATGAGGTAACTGGAATGCACCATCAGAGCTTCAGCACCTGGATTTTCAAGTTGTGTGCTGCTACTTTCTGGAGAAAAGCTGGCTGGCTATGGCTAACCTTACAATTTCTTTTATATTTCCATCCCATCTTCAAGATGTAGCCCATTATAAGGCGTGTAAAGGCTTTTAAATTGAGGACAAAGTGTGGCTTGTATAATTATTATTTAGCTGCTGAGCTACTTTATATTGGTACTGGAAACAGTTGACCTTGTTCTAACAGATATGTCTTGTTTTATTTGTTCAGTGGGGTTTATGTGAACACCTGAAGCTATTTTAACGAGTCTGTTCTGTCTGAGGCGGTTTAGTAAGAAGAATAAAAAGTGTGTTCTTGAGAAATGTCTTTTTATCTAATGTCTGACATCTGAGGTGTTCTTTCTGAGGTCTTACTCATGTATTCTTGAGACCCGAGGATGTCCTAAAATGCACACTGTATAACCGTCCAGAAGGACAATGATCTTGGCAATCCACCAATCAGGCCTGGATGGTAGCATGGTCAGACAGAAGCCACTTCACAGTAAAAGGCTCGTATCAGCGATCCACTTTGAGTTGCTTGAGATAATGGGCTGCACCGCAATGCATGCTACTGGTGCAAATGGCTGAATTAAAAAAATGCACTAGTGTGTTCTGTCCCATATCAGCCTAGCCAAAAATGTTATAGTAAACTCTTGACTCAAAATAAAAATTAAATAAAGTTGACAATGATTGTGAAATGCAAATACCTGCTGGAAGCGAATCTATGTCGATGAGACGGTTAGCTGCGTCTTCTTTTCTGGCCATGCGGATGATCTTTCGGGAGAACACGTGGCTCCACCTTGCAGTTAATTTCTCTGAGGAGTCTGGGTGTAGCACAGAGAAGTCCTGAGAAATCTTACAATGGGGGGGGGTAAGAGACATATTGTTAAACACAAAAACTGATTTGTGAAATTTACTGTATAAGAAAGCTCACCATGCCTGGAGTGTCAACCAAACGTGGAAACTCGGCCATTATTTCTCTGATTGACATTGTCCCATTGCTTCTAATCCACTGGGCTCGTTGGATAGCGGTCTCCAGCATATACTGGGAAACTTGTGATGGTGGCCAGATATTGTTTTTCAGCCATTCTGTCATCTGGATGGCTCGCTCTGGAGATACAGTAGGTTCTGTTGTAGATTAAAAAAGAAAAAAACATTCTGAATAGTGATGACTGATCATGACCTTTACAATTTAAAAATATGTCAGAATTGTTTCATTTCAGCAAATGCCCTAGAGAAAGAGTGCAACCATTAAGTAGACTGTAATGGCGCTTTTACACTTGGGCCAGCTTGTCCCGCTCCACTCCAGCCGGGTTGTGTTCACATGTTGCCGGTGAGGAATTGGGCCATGAGCGGAGCCAGCAGGTGGCGGGAAAGAATGCAGGTAAACAAAGGCAGGAGCAGCATTGGGGAGAGCGGGGGATATCTCGGAAGGAAACAACGCAGAGGAGGTCGCAATTTATTTGTACGTTGTGCGTGGACTGGCTCTTTTTAAAGAAAAAATCTCCTTGTTTGACATGTGAGGAGACGTCGTTCTGGTAGAGAATCACTGGAAGCCGCTCAGCAGAGCTGGGAGAAGGCAGACAGCACATCGGGTGAGCGCCGGTTACAGTTTCCAGCTGCAATGTGTTTAAATCAGTTAGAAAGAGCGAGAGTGACATCACTATGCAGGGCTTATCAGTTCATAGGTGGGCGTGTTGGCCAGAGTGGAACCAAGGTTTCCTCGGTCCGAAAATGGTGTCCGTTCCGCGCAGCTCTACTCGAGAAAAAGAGTGTGAACGCTCTGAGCGGGGCCGTATCATGCGGAGCCGACGCCAGTGTAAAAGCGCTATAAGATTAAGGCAAGTTGGCTTTACCAGGCAAAACAATCTGGCATTTTTGTGGCGCTTGAGGTGTTGACTTATTCTGGGTGTCGCAGCGTGACCTCTTTCGCACATTGCGGAGACATTCCTCTAGGAATCCTGTTGCAGGTCTATGTTTCCTTCCTGGGGTGAACCACGCATCCTAAAGTAAAAACAAAAACACATACACAACAGGAAAGAATACAAAAATAGCAAATTAGAAAATAAGAAAACCAGCACAAGCCTTTGAATGAGGTAGTGGATTCACTTGAAATTTACAATTTATTTATTGGGAGTATCCACTCTGAGGTTTGTGTTTTAATTATATGTTGGTCACACAGTGATAGGCAAGTCAAATTCGTCTGTAAAGCACACTTTCAGTGATAAGGCAATTCAAGCTGCTTTTGAAGACCTGCGATATTCTATAACAGTGCTTAATATTGCGATATTGATATTACTCACGATAAATGAACAAATACTAAAATATGCAGTGTTGATGTCGTCTGGCGTGTGACGTCTTCTCTGGGTTCAAAGCAAACAAAAACTAATGCATGAATTCCATTACAACATAACATTTTTATAGCAAAAACATGCAGCTGCACCTGCTACTGTATTAGTAGCAAAACAACAAACTGCATGCATGCAGTTTCTCAGTGACTTTAAAACATCACCTCCACCATAAAACTTTTTCTGATTCTCCAAATACAGAAAAACATCCCTTACCAGGGTTTTTAGAATAAATACTTTAAATGTTAAATAATAGTTAACATCACTTAAATGCAACAGCAAATTCTCTCATTGCTACTGAACATTTTCTCCACTTATGTGGTTAAGATATAAGGATGTTGCTGTAATTGGAAAGTGAACTGTGCTGGGCCAAACTAGGAGAATATTAAGATTTTCTGAGGGAAAGAGAAAAACAATCGTCTACCTTTCAGAAGAGGAACTGGCAAAAAAAACTACATGGAAAATATGTGAAAACGTTTGTTTTTAACCCCAAATTGAACAAGTTTACCTAGATCTTAAAAAGCAGCTCAGATGATGAAACTGCAACTATGATTCTGATAACAAGCTAACTAATTGAACTAGCTCCTCTAAGATAACTGGCTAGCAGAGCTTCTGACTGACAGTTTATGTGCAGCAGCAAATCAACTATCCTGATTAACAAGGTTATAAAAGCTCATAAATGAAAAATCACTTTGATGTGTGGGGGAACTTTTCCAGGCCCTCTTTAGCAGGGTGGGACTGGGAGGAGAGTGCTGTAGCCTTTTAGCTGGAAGCTAACCGGAGCCACCACCCGGTGGATCACTAGCGACATGAAGGTGGGTTGGTTCACCGGCACGTGTCGGAGTCAGCCCGGTAAAAATGATTACGACACCGAGCGGACTCACGTTCACGTTTGAAAGCAGCGCTGATTCCAGAAACCTCAGCACAAAGTGTGTTCGGTGCTCTGAGCCAGAATGACGAACAAGGGAACGGCGCTGCAAACTATGTTCAGCTGTTGCTTTCCAAAAGAGTCTATGTAGGGGGCGGGCGTATTACGTGAACGGACCCATCTGATTGGTCGCATATCAGAAGGACTACATTTGATTGGTCAAATAATACTTCTGCGTAAAAAACAGAGCTGGTTTACAAAAAGCTGATGTATGACACGGATGGAAATGTTTGAACCAAACATTTATCGCTGTTTTTGCCGTGTTTTGCGATGGGCCTATCACACGTCCTGTTATCGCGATGACGATAATTTTTCGATATATTGTGCAGCCCTAATAGATATTAATATAGATGATGGTAGGACAGTTTGCTGACTTTTATGAGAGTTTTAAATGTCCTTTATTTTTGATAACATAATAATGTCATATGAAACGTTACTTACATAGCCTGTGCCAAGACTGTCCTTTAGACATGGAAACTGCTCCACTACTGATGATGCCAGCAATGCCTTTGATTCCGAGGGTGGACTTCAAAAGAAAATTGACATGTTACTTTATTATACACCCAAAACAAAAGATACTTTTGTACACTTATTATGAAACAGCTTTTTTATTGTTTTCAATCATATTTTGAAAACCATAATTTGTGATTCAACACTCCAAATCCTTTGGAAGAGATGGCCATGGTTTAAAAATCTACATTTGTTCACCAACTTTAAATAACATAAAAAAGAGAAGTCTATTATAAGTTTGAAAAGATGCTCACTTCTCTCCAAAGCACTCAATCAGGTGGGACACAAGTATCCTGACCATGGATCTTCTCTCACTTATAGAAATGTGATGGCTTTCTTCAAGGCTGTGAACTATTGCTCTTCCATCAGGTGTTTTGTTGAGTATCTCACGGATATTCTAATAATATGTGAACAGAGAAAAAGGGTCTAATTAAATCTGCAAAGAAACCTAAACCTTCAATACATCACTGGGAAAGGTTAGAGGGATTTTCTGGAGGGAATGATAAGAATCCATTATTACTTCTGCATGGATAGTAAGACTTACAAATGATGTTCCACCCTGGACAGGAGCCACGTGCTGCAATTTGTCAGCTGGTGCACAAACAGACTCCGTTTGTTTAGGGCTTGAATCCTGGTTAAAAAAAGCAGGGGAAGACCCTACATAACTACAAAAAAATTGATAAAGCATCTATAATTCTGATTGTAGTTTTAGTTACATGGTTCAAATCATAAAAACAATTATGGTATATTTGTCAAAAACACTCAGGTATATACTTACAAAAGTGATGATGATAAAGCTGATATGCAGCTCCACAGTTATATTGATTTTAATCAAATATTTTAATGATTTGAATGTATTTACATTTATTTGTCACAAAAATGAGGTAGTACCAGGTCAAAGCTCAAGACAGTACTTAAAACCCTTTGGGTTTAAAATAGCCTGTACCTCAGTGAAATGTAGGTCACTGCAATTCTCCTTGTAGGATTTCACAGCATGGAGAGGGTGATAGTCAGCAATGGAATCAATGTCCACTGCTTCAATCGCTGAGGTAGGGGAAACATTGAAGGCAAAAAAAATGCCTTTCAAAGCCGATTGTTTCCCACTTTTTTAAAATGAGCTTAGTATTCGAACGAAGTACCACAATGCTCTGAATAGTTCCAAACTGAGGCTCGCAGTCATCTGTATGAGACATAAATAATGTCATTCCTGTCCTGTAGCTAGTGCCCTTGTACTTAATCCAAGAAGGCAGATAAACGTCTGTAATAACAGCAACTCCTTCAAACCCAGATTTGACCTTCTCAAAATCCTCTATTGTACCAAGGAGTTTGGTATATCCTGGCCCAACTTCAAACTCATGGCAAAACATCTGGCCTGACAGGAGAGTGTAACACATCATTATTTGATGTCTGTAGGCTTGGGTTTTACAGATATTTCGAAAGTTGCAGGTAACATGACTCACTCTTTTGAAAAACCCATGTTTTGCCTCAAAGCGCATTGACCAGAAGTGAACAACAGGCCCAAGTTTCCGTATGGCTCTGGGATAGTGAAGCATGAAGTGGTGTTTGGGTTTTAGATGTCTGTCTGGGAAGAGCTCTAAATAAAGACAATGGTGCTTCTCAATGATGTGCCCCAAAAAGACTACTGCTCCTTCTGTTAATGAAGGAGAAAAAATAAACTCCATGCAGCTCAACAATAAAAGAAGCAACTCCCAATATTTGTTGTCCTCTGGAATCAAATCCCCTATCATGAGGGGAAGCAGTCTTAGCAGACACCATGTTTGTGAAGCAGATTGCCTAAGTCCAGTATCAGGATTTTTCAAGTCCTGAGGTTTGATGGTTGATGGCTTGTTGTGGACATCACAAAATCCATAGTCAAAGCTTGTCAACCTGTAGTTCAGCTGATCAAGAGTGACAATTTTTTGTTCAATCAATGCATTGAGCACAAGCTTAATTTCATAACCACCAATCCCTTCGAGGATATCATGCATGACATCAGGAGCAACATTGTCAGTCACATGGTAGAACTGCAACTTGTTAAGAGAGCACTCTCTCTTGATGCCAGTTTCAGCTGGTTTGTGTAGAAGCAAGTCTGAGTGGTAGTTAACCTTGTCACGTATTGATGAAGGAGCTTCAACTGTCTGTACCCTCAACACTTCCTTGTGAACTCGACACCACCGACACACGCTATTGCCTGCAAAGCTTTCTGTGTAACCAAGTATTCCATTAAGTCCAAGGTTATCACCACAGACCTGTGCCACTCCAGCCTTAACAATGCCTGAAAAACGTGTGGTTTCAACATGAAAGCCATTCAGTTCCATGTCTTTAATGTCATTCACAATTGGCTCTAAAATTGTGTTCATTCCATATGTTTTTACATCATCAGCTTTGTACACTGCCAACAAGAAGTGAGACTTTAAACTAGACATGTATTCCTGTGGCAAGCATTTCATTGTGAAATAGATAAAACCAAGTTTGTGGACTGATGTTTTTGCGCCAAGTGGATTCACCATCTCACACTCATCACTGTAAAGAACCAATGGAATAGAGAAATCTTTAGAGAAAAGTGGATTAGTTTCAAATATTGTGCCATCTCTGAAATCCTCTAAGGCAGCATTTTCAAGATTTTGCCATTCAAAGATCTTATCTATTGTTCCTGGACTTTCCAGAACAAGCTTCAACATGGGTTTCAAGGGAACATACTGGAAAGTGTCCCGAACTGCAACTTGTTTCACATTTCCTGACTCTCGATCAATTTCTTGTGTAAAGGAAAAGCCAGGGAGTGGTACTGCCTCTGGCTGTATGAAGAACCCAGACTGAGTAAAATATTTCATTTGCTTGTACTCTGATTCAAATCCTTGAAATGGTTCAGCTGCTTTGGTGAACTGCTCCATGAGGTCCTCTGCTTGTGGAGTCTCAGAGTGACCGATCTCTCTTAAAAAAGAGAGTGTTTTTCTCTTTAAGCAACCAACTACATCTCTGATAAGACCTGATGTGTTTTCAACTACATCTCTAATCCCACTGAATGTCTGAGAGGATGTTGCCTTTAACCTAGCTAAGAAGAGTGCAACTCTGTCCTTTATGTTGTCTTCCTCTAGCTCATCCCAATGTTCTGCTGTAGTCTCACAGCATTCCACCTCATTTAGCACACTTAAATGAGGATCTACTGAACTGTCAGGAAGTTCACCTGTGCTACTTTCTTCTGTTTCAATGTCAAACTCAATAGCATGCCCAATTATGTGTCGTCTGAATGATCTTATTTGATCAAAAGTGCGATGGCACCCAACTTGAGCACACTGGAAATAAGTCGAAGTAGAAAGTATATGATGCACCACTCTGAGATGGTTAAAAAAAGCTCTTATGTTATGACCTAAAGACCTATGACATTTAAAGCACACGTACCCCATTCTGTTTTGACCTCTGACACTGGTCATACCTCAAGTAATCTTTTTAAATTATTCTGAATTTTCAGGCGTGGACCCAGGAGAGGTATCAAAGTCGTCAAGCTGTTCGCATCCAAGAGGAAAAGGCTGTCTTTGTCAATCTTTTCAGCTGAAAAAAAGAAGGAAATTTGGATCACTGATCAATAAAACAACAAGCCACACACAGATGTAGGCCTGGGCAATAAAACAGTAACCATATGTACCGCAATGTAACTTTTTCTCAGTAGTAAAATGAGACTCGCAATATAGTTTGTCCATCTTTTTTTTCATAGCCAACTGAATTACACTATTAAAATAAACTATACCAGGACAGATTGGGAGAATTTGCTTTTAGTTTTTAGCTTATTCATTTGATATTGACAAAACCTTCGACAATTTATTCTCCTGTAAAACTTATTGTATCCTGAGATTTATTTTTAGTCAATATTTTGTTTCTAAGTGGAATTGACCAAGCAGTTAGGTCATTTTTTGTTCTCTTTTGAAACTTGAAAGCTTTAGTCCTGACTTTAGTTTATAATATTATGAACCTTTATTATTTTAGTCACCTGAAACAGATGTTATGTTCTCTAAGTACGACTGTCATGTTGAACCTTTGACAGGAAACTAATATTTAAATATAAAAGCAGCTTCTGATGATTTCACATTTAACTTTTAAGTAACAGCCCATTTAAATTTTTACACAGAGTTTTTTGACTTATATTCCAATCTAATCCAATCCAATTTTATTTATAAAGCGCATTCAACATGGCATTACAACCAAATAAGGCGCTGTACACCAAAAATATATATATTGTAATATATATATATATATATATATATATATATATATATATATATATATATATATATATATATATATATATATATATATATATATATCGACATTGACAGAAAGGAAAAAGATGTATCGTGATATGAAAAATCTTATATCGCCCAGCTTTACACAGATGTAGATATGAGTACTGGTAGTTACAGTTTTTTACTTTAATTACAGAAATACATTTACTTTATCATACCTTCAAAAGCAGGGATGTATTCAGAGAGGTTCCATTCCAGAAGTTTGTCCTTCACAAATTCATCCATCTTTTAGAAAAAACAGAAATCACATTTGGTTGCTGTATTTTTTTAACAGTTAATCACCAATATTACTTGCAGTTAATTAACAATTGAAGTTTACAAAGGATTATACAACAAAGCAGAAGCAGTATTTATCAACAATTAACACTTGAACTGTGCATTTAACGTCATCTGTTTGGTAAGATGCTAATAAATCAGTAGCCAGTGAGCTCACCTGTCCGTTCCCTGTTTCAATCTGTTGTGTCCTACAAGCTTATTATTTTATAATGTCCCAAACACTTGCTGAAATTAATTGTTTTCATCTGGTAATATTGCCCACAACACTGGAGAGGAAATCTTCCGCGCTGTTCACAGCCATGCTGCTACTGTTAAACGCTAACAAAATAAAACGTATGCAAGTAGGGAGTAGCATAGATCATCTTTGGGCAGATTATCAAAAATAGAGCGCGTCCAGATCGTTTCAAAAGCTAACACATTATCTCAAGGATTCTGAGGATTGGATGACAATCCTCAGAACTTCCTGACAGTTTTGTGGGAATATCTACAGTTATAAATTAACATCCAACTTTGTTTTGGTACACATCTACATATATTCAAGCTTTAACATACCTTGAGTGAAATAAACCGGGCATTATCATGAAACTCTGGCTCCCATGATTCGGATGGATTATCAAGCAGTTTACCTTTGGCGTGCTTCATCAGCTGGAACCTATTAACTTTCACGTTAATGTCCGCCCGTTTATTTGTGCGCTGCTGCACACGACTCTGACTGACACTGATTATATTTTATTTCACCGCTATGTAGCGCGAGCTGTTGTCAACTGAAAGCAGTAGCAGTTTGCGCGTTGCGCCGCCATTTGTTTGCTCCCCACCCCAGGGACAGGGGTTGTGGAGTTGGCGCGCGTGCCGTTATGTAACATGCATATGAACCTGTGAACGTAATCTGCCCAGCAACAGTTACAGTAGCGGGAAAGCTGCGCGCAACCACTTAGATAAGCTATTATTCTCCTGTAGCACTATGCCTATTGGTCTCCTGTCTCATTTCCCCACAGAAATGTATAGTAGAATTGGTACTACCAAAGAAGTAGTGCTGAGCTACACAAGTAGCGGGAGGTATTGCACAGACCGCAGCATAAAGAGCCCCTGCTGCTAGTGGGGATGCTATGCATAGTAAGCCTAACTTCCTGAGCCTCATCATGTCTAACAAACAAAGGGAGGGTGGACAAATGGTAAAACACTGTCTGGAGCAGATAGTTGTGTCACAGATTTTCTGTTCCATTATATCTAATGAAGTAGATTGATGCTAGGAAGCTATAGCTAGCTAGCTACTCGAAGCTATATTCGGTTGAAAATCTCTTGTAGGCTTAAAATCTCTTTGTTTACTGCATTACCTGCCTTCAACTGCTTTACCAGAACACATTTTCAAACTCCATCATCAACATCTTACCTTATTTTTAAACATTGCTGGTGTGAAGGTCCATGGAAATGAGGCAAGTCCTTGTCATCCTCCACTTTAAAATGGTGAAGCTGGCACAGAGGAGGGGGAGGATCTTTCTTTTTACCGCCCCTTTTAACCCAACATGCTGGGTCAAAATGTTTGACCCAATGTTGTATTAAATTGACCCAACTGCTTAAAAATCAGCCTTAACCCAGCAGTTGGGTTAGCAAAATAACCCAGCATTTTTAAGAGTGTAGTTTAATTACAGTTTGATTTATTTGACATCTGTATAATGTTTATTATTTTGTTTTTTCCCCCTAAATACCTAACGTTTGAGTTTAACATGAATATCAGTCATTCATCCCAATACATGAAGTTACACATTTTAAATTTTAATAGGGGAAGACTGCAGGAGGGAGCGGTAAAATCATAGACTGTACATACTTGCTACCCGCCGGCTGTGATCACAAGCGACAACATATTAGTTCCCGCTGCTTCTTCTGTAAACAGCGCAAACAAAAACAAAGAAACTTGGGATCTTGTCGGCGTGGCGGTGGGATTTAAGGGAAACGCTGTATGCCCTATAGACTTCTCACCGAGCTGCAGTATTTCTCCGGTCAGATCTGTCTCTGAGAGCTCCACGAGCGGTCAGCCCGCGCAGAAACTAGCCGCCCCACCGGTCAGGCTGCCTGGCCTGACCGCTGGGGATTACCGGATGGAAGAATGGACACAGGTGTCACTCCAAGCCTGCTGGAGATTTTAAGGGTTCAGATGAAAACACCCTACCACTCAGGCTGCTTACACATCGATATTAAGTTGTCGCTGTTGCGCTCACGCCGTAATACAGTATTAGATGCGGTTAAAGTCAGACATGAAAAACTCCACGAGCGGTCAGACCGCGCAGCAGCTAGGCGCAGCAAGTAGGCGCCGGATCGTCCAGGCTGCCCGGCCTGACCGCTGGGGATTACCGGGTGGAAGAATGGACACAGAAGTCTCCCTCTTTGCGCTCCGTCATATTTCAACCCATTTTGATCTTTTACCATATTACCCATCTAAATATGCCCTATTAATTATTTTACCGTATTTTACATTTAAATTTCATGGTTAAACAGTACATGCTACATGTTAAACTGATAGTTAGCTAGCTACTTCGGTAAACTCAGCTAGTTTAAAGGTGGCAGTGACATAAAATACGAATATAGATTTTAACTTACCGAAAAAAATGAAGTGGAGACTCCTTGGACGCTCTATTAGTGCAATTAATACCACAGCAAGTCATTTTGTCCAACAATTGCACCAATAATATCCAAAACAGAATTCACAAGCACAGAGACTCAAAATCCCGAAACAGCTTCCAGGAGGGGCCGAGGCTGTACTGAGGCCTTTCCACGGAGCTAGCTCTGTGGTCACGTGGGTCTGAGGCGGCGGTCACGTGTGTCGGATGCTCATACAGAATTTTAGGCTTTCAATACAGAAGAGTGAGAAAAAAATTCACCCCCCTCAGAGTTGTCATGAGTATAAACTAGATAATTTAGACAAAAAACATGTTTTGGCACCAGGCTGTAAACATGTTTATTTCTGCTGTGAAATCGGCATTTTTAACATGGGAGTCAAAGAGGATTTGCTCGCTTCTGGCACCAGCCCCCAGCGGATGAGGGTGGAACTGCAATTTTTCTTACTTCCGGGATGGGACCATTTTTAGAGCGGCATTGTGGGGGCTCTCAATTCAGGGTCTGCATCCTTCGATGGACGCAGCCCACTCGGCCGACGTGGGCTGCGTCCTCCGTCGGCCGGGTAGACCGGATGTTAACGGCTGTGAATTTGGACAGGCCTAGCCTTCATGAACTCCCTCCGCGAACGTTCCGTCGCCTAGCAACCGTGGAACCGCTGGGCAGAAGGGAGAAGGAACTTTAAACGATGGAGCTTGACGTTTTATTTAGCTTTTTAACCCCCAGAGACCCAAATTTAGAAAACAACTGCAAAATCTTTATTTAACCTTTCACATGTTGTTCTAGGCCAGATAAACGGGCCTATTTACACATTTTAACAGTCAATAGTGTTGCAGAACTGAACAATAGGACCTATTAGCAATGTAAATGTAGTTTTAAAAAGAAAAAATGGGGAACGTTTATTCTTGTAGACTTAAATCTGATGTTGTAATGTTACAACCGTGGGTCTCTGGGGGTTAATCATTTCCTTGACTGTTGGAGAACTAATTCAGAGAAAATACTTTAGACAAGCTGAGCCTGAGCAAAGATGTGATAATAGTTTTTAATACTTTCTAAGGGTCTTAATTTGACCAAAACCCATTTATCAACTTTTAAGACTTTAAGACCCAGCAGATACCCTGTAATATTGAACAATTCTCATTTGTAAACAAAAATAAAATTCAAGAGTTTAATGCAGAACTGATTTTATTTAGATATTTCTTTTATATGTACATGTTTAATCTTTATTAACCATTTTTTTTCTAGCAAAGTAAAAAGCTGTCAAAGTTATTCCTTCTCTCCTGGGCCCTCTGCCTCCCTCTGCAGCCTCATGTTCTCCCTGATCAGATCCAGAAGCTGGTCATCGCTGGCACCTTCCCCTGGATGCCCATTTTCTCCAGAATAGTCTTAACAAACATGTAAGAAAAGAAACAGGAAGAGAAAAGAGGACAACGGGTTATTCCTTTCATGTTTTCGCAGAAAAAATAAACTCAAACGAGTTTTTAAAATATGAGATGTTATTGTACCTCCATGCCACAGCCGCCGAATACTTTGCTCCGGTGATCATGTGGTCCATCTCCGCCCTAAGCTTAATAAATTCCCTGGTTTTCTCTTTTGTTCCTAAAATACAAACTTCTATTAAAATCAGGGGGAAAACGTAGCGGGAGAAATACGACACCGAGCGCGGCCGAACATACGAGCCGAGACCGCAATACAAGCACTTTTACTGTAACATTTCTAACTAAAATAACGTTCATGTATCACAAAAAGTCATTAACCTAACAGTTTTCAAGTTTATACTGACATTTATATGCGCAATCCTCTCCGACAGCTCCCGCTTCACTGTCCGCCATTGTTTTTAAGTTTTTCTGCTGGCCGGCCCGCAAGGCATCTTGGGAAATGCTACCTGTTGAAGGATACACCGGACCCATCCTTCATTCAGGCGAAAAGAAGGCCGCATTCGTCGACCGCATTTGAAGGAGTCTTCGAATTGGGACAGGCCTAGTCGCGGCGCTGTGACGTAACCGGCCGACGAATCCGGCCGACGTAGGATGCAGACCCTGAATTGAGACACAGCCACTAAGCTAATCAGGCAGCATCACGTGGGTCTTCAGCGTTTGTGAGATCATACAGGTGACTCCAATTCCTTTACAAACCTTAAGGAATCACGTGGTAATCTCAGATTGTTTCATGGATTTTTTTACCTTAAACAACGGAATGACTGCTGGTTCCATGTACACGTTACTATAGAGCATTATTACCTTGTAGATTATTAGAATAAACAAAATTAATTTTGCTTTTTTAATTAGATCTTATAACTTCCTCGTGAGCATAAAGTGGGTGTAAAAATTAAAGTGGGTTGTTTAGGCTAATAAAATGTGCATTTGTTTATTCAACATAAGCCTGACAAAGCAGGTATGAAAATGTCAGTTATTGTTATTTTAATTATTCTGATTTTGTTAACAAGTCCCTTGGTCAGACATTTATTTACTGTAGAGTTTACTACTGATAACCTCAAATAGGCCCGGAGTGGCTAATCGGGGTCTGGACCGCAAGGCGCGGTGTTGTTTTTGTTTGTTTGTGTGTTTGTTTGTTTGTTTGTTTTGGACCGGTGCTCAGTCGTCATGCCACTGGGCTGATCCCTAAGACTGCCTACCTGCTGAAAGGGCCTCTCATGTCAGGTACAAAAACAAAAACATATTTTTTATAACTCGTCAGTTCTTGTCTTCTTCTCTTTTTCTGTTGGGGTTAGGGTTCAGTCATGGCTTTGATCAGACCGCGCTGTCCCCGGGCCGCCTCTGCCTTTTTTCTGCAGGCGCTTCCAGACGGAACACTTCAGGTGACTCTGGGTGGGAGAAGCAGGACTCAGGAGGAAAACTCTAGAAACAGACGCCACTAAATGTGCAAAATGGGCATTTTTCACTAAAACGTGCTATTTCCGGAGTCAGCAGCAAGACCCAGCAGCATCAGCAGGTAGGATCACTCACTCACTGAGGGAATATTATGAGAATGAATAATGGAAAGGATTACAAAGACCTGCTCTATTAAAGAGGTCCAGATGTTGGCTCTGTCCGGTTCGGTCCGGACCTCACGGTAAAGCCAGGGGGGCAGACTCTCCCACCAGATCCACGGTGCAATTCAACCTGACAACAGTTATCTTTATTTTCATTTACATGAATGATCATGAGGAATCATCTGGACAAATGTGAAAGAAAAAGATCTGTAGAGAAGGAAAATGGAAAGTGTAGGAGAAAACGAGGATGTACTTCTTTAGTAAATGTTCACTGATGAGTTTTCGTGTTTGGGAAATTACAAGTGAGGTCAATCACAAGTTGTGTTTTCATAAAATAGTGTTTCCATCTGAAAATAAGTCAGGGTTTTATTTTAACTTTATTTCTCAGTGTTGCAGCTGGATGCTCTTCTGCGCACCTCTAACAGGTTACCAGACATTTGAGATTATTTTCTAGTTATTCAATTAAATTATAATTGTATAATGAATATTTTTCTAAAGCAAAGTTTTAATAAGTTATTAAATCAGACACATCAATGCCATAGACACAATCTCTGTCACACCGCTGCATCTTTCGGATCATTACTTCATCCATTTCAGCACGACTCTACAAGGGAGGTCCACTGCTTCCTCCCCAATGGTCTCATTCCGCCGCAACCTCCGCAATCTGGCACCCAACTACTTCTCCTCTCTTGTTGCCTCCACTCTTCCATCTCCCAGCACATTCTCTGCTTATGAAGTGAATGAAGCCACCTAGTCACTCTGCTCCACACTCTGCTCTTGTCTTAACAACTTGTGCCCTTTAGCCACTAGACCTGCTAGATCCTCTCAGTCGCACTCTTGGCTAAATGATACCCTCCGGTCTCTACGCACCAATCTTAGAGCTGCGGAACGGATATGGCGCAAAACAAAAGATCCTGGTCATCAATTGAAATTTCAGGAATTACTGTCCTCATTCTCTGCCAGCATCACTGATGCAAAGAAAGCTTTCTACACTGACAAAATTCTCAGCTCTATTGACTCAGAAACTTTTTTCAACATTCAAAACTCTGCTCAACCCTCCATCTCCACCTCCTACCAACAATCTATCAGCTGACACCTTTGCCTCATTCTTCACTGACAAAGTGGCAGCTATAAGCAAACAGTTTACTCAACTGGACACTCCTGAACATTCGCAACCACAAACTCCTTCTAGCCCAACCATCTCAGGCCCTACTGCTTCATTTTCCTCTTTTTCCCCTCTCACTGAGAATTGTGTGTCCAAGCTTCTCACGTGCAGCCGCCCTACTACATGCCCACTTGACCCCATTTCGACTAAGCTGCTCCAAGCTATTGCTCCTACAGTAGCCGCAGCAGTCAAACGTGATCAACACTTCACTGACATCCGGTACATTTCCCACCTCTCTCAAGCATGCTCAGGTTAAACCGCTGCCAAAAAAACATCTCTTCCTCCAAATCACGTGGAGAACTACCGACCTATCTCTCTCCTCCCTTTTCTGTCCAAAATCATTGAAAGGGTGGCTTTCAAGCAGATCACAGAATACCTCTCACAAAACTGTCTGCTTGACCCTTACCAGTCTGGGTTCAAACAGGGCCACTCCACTGAAACCGCTCTGTTAGCAGTGACTGAATCCTTAAAAGAAGCTAGAGGGACAGGCAAATCCTCAGTGTTTATCCTGCTCGACTTATCGGCTGCATTTGACACTGTCAACCATGGCTTCCTTTTGTCCACACTCTCTAGCATGGGCATCACAGAGTAAGCACATGCCTGGTTTGAATCGTACCTCACAGGACGATCATTCAGTGTATCTTGGCTTGGACAATCCTCTACCATTCACCATCTTGCCAAAGGGGCCCCCCAGGGCTCTGTACTAGGACCTCTTCTCTTTGCCACATACACCACCTCACTGGGTGAGATCATTCGATCACATGGCTTCTCCTACCACTGCTATGCAGACGACACCCAGGTCTATGTGTCATTTCCACCGGACGACCACACTGTCTCTGCATGAGTGTCAAACCGTCTCTCTGACATAACAAAATGGATGAAATCCCACCATCTCCAGCTCAACCTCTCTAAAACTGAACTACTTGTCATCCCAGCAAAACCATCCATACAGCATAATATCACAACCAAAATGACTTCCTATTAGAGCCCTGCACGGGCCTAAAATCTGAGCCCGTGTCCGGCCCGGCCCGAGGGGGTGGAGCCCCAGCCCGACCTGGCCCAAAAAGGTTTTCAGGAGTCTCTAGCCCGACCCGAGCCCGAGCCCGACTTTTTTTTAACCAACTAAATGAAAACAAAGTGTGTCAATCCTGACCAATTTGTTAAAAGACGTGCAGGATCCGATCAATTTGTTTTTCCCTCATTTACCGTCACGGAGATGATGGCGCACTGGCTCTGGTGGTAATCACGTTAAATTTTATCTCTTTCCAACAATTTTCACAAGAAAACAAAACAGTTAAAAGCAGGGCTTGTGTTGTGTTGACCAGATAGTTCCCGTATTTGATCGTTTATTTTGACGGAGAAAGAATAGGAAGAATTACCCCGACGCATGCAGACGAACTGACATTTCATTCTACGCACATCGCAGATGTTGCTAAATCACCCAAGAAAAGATTCCCATCTGAACATCTGAGCTGCACACTGCTCAGCGCAGCTCGCTGTCAGCGCATATGTGCACAGCGAGCTGAAGTTGTGGAGATTGGCTTGGAGCGCGTTGCAGAACCAGAGCGCATGCGGGAAGGTTCCTCCCACTGAAGCGAGTATTTTCCAAACCCTGTCTCTCAGAGAGACTTGTCACTTAGAAAATGTTCCCTGATTATGAAACTTTGGCTGAATAGTGCTTGTTCTTGTCTCCGATATGGTGATGCATCCAGGAGCCGTCTGAGGAGAATCCCAGAATCTCACATCCTCTTCAGCTCAGGAAGCGCCTCTGATTTTGCACAAGCGTGACCCGTCAACCTGGTCTCACAGCAAGACTGGATTGGGCCTGTTCAGGTTTACGCAGACAATCTTTACATAGAACTGACATACGGATATAAAATTAATTCAGTAAAATATAAAGCATTTTATTTAAATATCCATTCATTATTTTACAAGCACAGAGAGCCGCATCAGATTCAGATCAGCGGGAAGATTCCTCCGACTGAATTCAGTCGGAGGAATCTTCCTGCATGCGCTCTGGTTCTGCGACATGCTCCAAGCCCCTCTCCACATCTTCAGCTCGCTGTATACCTTATGTAGTACACGCTGACAGTGAGCTGCGCTGAGCAGTTTCCAGCTCAGATGTTCAGATGGGAATCTTTTCTTGAGCGATTTAGCTACATCTGCGATGTGCGTAGAATAAAATGTCAGTTCGTCTGCATGCGTCGGGGTAATTCTTTCTATTCTTTCTCCGTCAAAATAAACGGTCAAATATGGGAACTGTCCGGTCAACACAAGCCCTGCTTTTACCTGTTCTGTTTTCTTGTGAAAATAGATAAAATTAAACTTGATTAACACCAGAGCCAGGCGTACTGCGCCGTTATCTCCGTCACTGTAAATGAGGGAAAAACAAAATGATCGGATCCTTTTCTGACCTTCCCCACCTACAAAGTTTAATTACAACAATCAAACGTGACAGAGCCTGGATTTGTATTCTGAACAGTCTAAACATGTTTTAAAAAGAAACGTATGACAAACGTGGCACCTGCTCAGTAAAACCACCAACAGGGTGAAAAATATCAAAATATTGTCGGCAGAGACGGGCTACAACTTCTGGATCCACTTTATATAAATCGTTTTATTATCGTCTTATGAAAGATAACTTTGACGAACACGAGCGACCGGTACTGGCTGCTGTCACCTGTTGTGAGCAGCGCTCTGCTGTCTGAGGGTAGGCCCCGCCCACAACGCCGCGGCTGCTGTGGCTCCCAGTGTTTTCTTTACTGTGGGAAATGGGTAATAATGGCTCTTTGATAGGAACAGGTTGCCGACCCCTGGTTTAAGTGTTTAAATTTTTTTTTTCAATTTTTTTAATGAATTCGATTAAAAATAAAGGCACCCGGCCCGGCCCGTGTCCGAGGTAATCACACAGTCGTTGGCCCGAAGCCCGGCCGTCGGGCCGTCGGGCCGGGCCGACCCGAGGGCCTAGGGCTTCAGTGCAGGGCTCTAC